CAGACGCTAATTGTTATTCTGTAATAGCAGAATTTATTACTGCTAAAAACCTGACATTTCGCTTAATGTGAATGAACTGAAATCATTCCATATATTTGGTATATGTTACTCAGGTTTTCTTTTTTTGAGGTTTTCATTTTTTTACATGCAAACTTAAAAAATACGTCATTTATTTTTGTTATAATACTTTGAGTGTTCTAGCACATTATTTAACAGTTTGAGTGTGTATGATGTTTCCTTTTGCAGATAGAGGTAATAAAAGCCTCCCCTAGTTTAGCCTTCTCTAATTTTCTACTTTATGCATAAGATACTTTGGCAACTGGCTATACAGTTACTTGGAAATGCAGTTAGAGCTAGTTTTTACCATAAACCTAGTAAGATATTTTATGTGGTGGCCATTGGCGCTAACAGCTAGCAGAATAAAAGATCATCTGTCTGTATATACCTGTGTTTCTGGGTTAACTCTTCTCTGGAATTTGTTTTCCCATATAGGAGTGCAGAGTACAAGCACACTTTTTTCTTTGCTCAGATTCTCTTTGTTTATTTATTTTCTGTAGTACTAGCTTTTGCCATTAAGGCTAACTAAAATTGCTTAGAATTAAAACTGCTTTGCCGCTTAGTATCATATTTGATAAAGGAAATTACTAATGCTTTTATAAATGCTTGAGCCTGAAAGACTTAAGAGAATGACAATGTATTTATACTGTTAATATTTTTCATTGTATAGATGAAATGGGAAGTTTTGAAATGATGCTTTTCAGGTTGATACACAGTTGAAAGTACAGAATTAGAATATTTGTGAGTGACTGGGACTAAAATAATAGATTTACAAATTAAATGAGAAGGTGGTTTTTGAAACCTAGGTGCTGGGGTATTTACATGAGCAAGTAAAGAGAGGAAGAACCTTTGGGCCAAAACAGCTTGAACTCTAACCATTATTGGGAATGAATGAGCAAGTAGGGGTTCAAAGCAGGTAGTAAGTCAGTCAGTCATGGAAGTAAGGAAACTAGAAATAAATTGTTTGTTGGGGTGCTGTGAGTACATAGATTAGTTAAGAATGAGAACACTCACAGTTCTTTGACCACTGATGGACTGATGGATTTGACGACTCATCTAAGATCTTGCTAAGATTGTTTATGTGAAAACTGGAGGTAAAAGCCAGGAAAAAGGTCAGTCAAGGAGGTAAGTAATAGACTGCTCAGAGGTGAAGGTGTTCACTGTAGCATTGAGGTAGAAAACCACTTTGGAGTTTGGAATAGAAATACTCAATTGCAGTTTTTGCATGTTTTTTTAAGTTTCTGAGTACAACATTATCTTCCGTAAGCAAAAGGCTTTAAGAAGGCTGAATAATATATGTAAGATTATCTAAATATTCTATAATTTACATAGAAATTACATGCATATATAAAACATTGCTACATCTATTGTTGTATAAGTTCTTAAATATTACTATAATTATTACTGGTTTTACATAGCAAAATCAAAGGTTTCTGGATTTACCTGGAAAGTGGAAGGGAAAGGATCATGGAAACAGATCCAAGTTACTTTTCTTTAGAGGTAGGGCAGGGAAGTGGGACAAGGGTCATGCCTTAGTAAAATCGACTTAGCCTGCAAAAAAGGCCCAGCTTATTCTTCAACTTAATCTATAGTCTGTTCTTCCTCTTCTTCCCTCCCCTTAATTAAGTAACTTTATAACTTTAAGAGGACAGGCTATAGACCTCTGATGTGTAAATGAACCTATGTGGATAAAGAATGCCGAGATCCGAACCAACACAGTCACCTAAATAATCCTATTCTTAAGACAAAACTTAAAAGGAATCATGAATCACCTGTATGCATCATGACTTCTGCTGACCCATACCCAAGAGGCCCTATAAAATGCCAAAACCTTAAGTGAGCCTCCTGAGGTTGCCCACACTCCCATTTCTTTGAGTTTGTACTTTTTATGTAAAGCCTTCCCACTGCTCAACTTACTGTGTTTTGTCTCCACACTCTTATAGTGGTGTCTTTGTCACTTCGCTGTTTCATTCTGTTTTCCAAACCTAAGCACAAGTCTTTGCTCTGTCTCTGTTATACTCCAGCTAAGTGTGGAGGGACTACTTATGAGAGCTCTAATTTGGGCTTCCAGGTTCCCGTTGCCTGGGTGACTCAGATAGGACTGTGACTGTACAATCATACTCTTTAGTAACCTGTCTGAAAATCTTTTTTTGCCTTTGGGAAGTTCTCAGAACATAATCTCACTCCATCCAGTGCTTTGCAGTTCCCCCAAATCCTGGGGTGGTAGGGGCTTTTAGTTCCCATGCTGTACAGATCCAGACACACTGGATGCCAGGTGACCCTGGTTTTAGGAGTTTGCAAGGGATCTGCCCTATGCTGAGCAGGAATTCAAGGAACTTCTGTTCTTTTGTTCTTCTCTGCTCTCTGCTGCCTTTAAGGCAGCTGCCATTCCTTACTACTCTTGAATTCATGAATTCCTTCCTTACCCACACTCTTACTACCTACTCAAGAATTCTTTCTAGTTCAGAGTTGAGAACCCTTCCCCATCAGGTTCAGGTTTCACCTGGTGTGCTGGGAGAGAGTTCCCCAGACACAGCTGCCCAGCAACACTTTTTGACTTCTGAAGAATGGTGATCTCTAACCCAGTAAGACCCAGTCTGATAGAGTAATAAGTGGTCTAGATATTTCATAAGTCTGAGGGCCACACATTTTCTTGTGGCCCTTTTCTTTTCTAGTATTGGGGTGTTTTATATATGATAACATGCTTAACAGCGTGATTTATGAAGTCTTCATTTCTCAATTTCATATCCTCACCAGTACCATTATTTAAATACTGATGTTTTGTGTTAAGAAAAAATAGATCATCTTCTTTGATTGTCAGAATTCTCCCACCTTCCTGTATTATTTAGCTGCTTTACTTCCACTCATCATCCACTGTCTGGAAATCCAACACAGATCTAAAACAGTTAACTATTGTTTTAATAAATCCAATACAGATCTAAAACAGTAAACTATTGTTTTAATAAGTCTAAGCAGGCCTTTGCCTTTGGAGATCATATCTAAAAATCGTTTGAAAGGTAATCCTTTTTCCCCCTTTGTATATAGTGATAGATGGTACCTAATCCCAGAAGGGAAAAGAGTAAGTCAGTAAAAACTGAAATTTGCTGGTTTTTAGTTTTCTGACATGGTAACCTATAACTGAGGGGCTCTAGGTTGAATTATAAAGTATTTGTCCCTGTTATTCACATCAACAAACAACATACACTATTTGCATTCTATACTCAGTTTGCTTTGCCAAGAAAAAGGCTTTTAGTCTTACCTAAGAAGAATATGCACTTAACATGTCCATTATATTTTAAGGTATACTTGTATTTTTTTACTCCATTTAACTTATTTTCAGTTAACAGACCCAATGATAATTTGTTAGATAAGATTTCACAAAATAGAAAACTCACCCACTTTTTTCTTTCTGGTAAGTTCAGGTACCTGTGCGTACACAAATTGTCCTTTGTTATGAAAGGAGGTATGGAGAGCTTCCTGTAGTTTTGGTATTTCTGGAATGATGAAGAGCTAGCCAGCAATATTTTCATTAGAAGCCATAGCTTACTACTCTTTTACAAAGCCAGCCTAACAGGACTTGTAGATACGTTGGCTGGCCATTCATGTACATAAACATGAATTAAACTCTTAGAAAAAAGTGCAATTTGACAAATGATGAAGTGAGTCACATGTTACCTCAACAGATAACATCACTAATTGTCCAATGAAGTCACTACCATATCACCCTCTTCCTGTTCTACTAAGTTACTTTTAATTACATTACTTTGCTTTACTTTCCTCATAGCACTTAGTCACTATATTATCTTGTTCATGTAGAAGTTAAGTCCGCCTCTCCCACTAGACTGTCAGAGAGCAGAGCGTCAGGGATCTTTCTGACCTTGTTAACTGCTGTACCCCCAGAGCCTAAAACAGTGCTGGACACATTCATGATACTCAGTAGCTGTTTAAAGATTAAGTGTGTGAATGAATTTTGAAGACACTTAGAGATCAATATGATCTTAGAGTTTTATAGATATTGTTGAATATATGTTATATATATAATATTGCTTACAGATAGTGTTGATTTGAAAGCTGCATAAAGTACCTAAAATTATATGCAAAATGCAGCATATGTGTACATTTCTCAACGTGTACCTTTAGTTGAGAAGATCCTTCATTTTAGTTAGTCTCAGAAATATCCTTGAATCCTTAGATGATTAGGACCACCAGACTGTGATAGTAGATAGACTGCAAGTTCTTCAAACAATTTTACATAAAATAACACCTATTATATTGCATCCATAGTAAAGTTATTTTATAGTGAAGCTTTGGGATAAAGGCATGTAGCTAACTTGGTGATTGAAATATATCAGTTTACTTTAAAGCTCAGAGTAACAGTGTTAAATCTATGGATGATTTATAGTATATAAATATTGATAGCAACAAAATAAGTGGATTAGGTGGTAATATTAAATTAGGAGAGGCTCGTTGGGAAGCCATAATGCGAATTGACTATAATCAATTTTACAGCATAGCCTTCTTTGATCTCACTTATGAGTATGGTATTTTCCAAGTTGAACAGTTTATAATTTCTAAGGTAAAATTTTGCTAAATCAGACTTTTCACTTTTTTTGGTATGTTTGTTAGTCTGTAGCAAGATGACTAAATTGCATGATAATTGTGTTCTTCAACCATTGTGCAGTTTTTTATGAAACTGCATTTTAGTTTTGCTCATCACTTGTTACTCTTCACATAATACTGTTCAGAAACAAATATTCAGTAGTAATTTTAATTAACTGATAACTTCATTTAATAATTGGTGGATCTGTTTTTCTCCATTCCTTTGAAAACCCAGGTTTTGAATTCTTAGGAATTACTCAAGTATACTTAGCTATGTTTTTAGGTTTTTTAAACTGTGTTTTTTATGCAAATAAAATTAATAAAGACTTTTTAATGTCTTTCAGCCAATGGTAATGATAGTAAAAAATTTAAAGGAGAAGATAAAATGGATGGCACTCCTTCTCGTGTACTTCATATTCGAAAATTACCTGGTGAAGTGACAGAAACTGAAGTTATTGCTTTAGGTTTACCTTTTGGTAAGGTGACCAACATCCTTATGCTGAAAGGAAAAAATCAGGTATACTACTTTCAGGACTTAACAAATGTTAAGCCCCCTACTAGCCAGCAAATGTGAATTAGCTATTGCCTAATCAAAGGGTAGAATATAACAGGTTGCTTTTCTAAAACAACATAACAGAAGTCTACATGACTTTTCCTGGTAGCTGTGTATGGGAAATACTAGGAAGCCAAAAATGAATGATTTGCCATAGTTTTCAAATTTTGCCCTTTTTAGGACCTTTATTGAACAATTGTTATAATGAGATTATAGAAAATATAAATGAAATATTTCTTTTATTGTGGCTATGCTCTTTGTATTATCAGAAATTAGTAAGGGGTACTAATAGCTTCTTACCTTTTAATATTATCCCATGGAAATGGTTATCTGATAGCATTAGAAGAAAAGTCATTAATCCTAGATATTCTAGGGCCCAGGCATATTAAATATAAAATTTTGTTTTAAAATTTCTGATGATACCATTTAGAAGAATTTATGAAATTTAACATTCTCTTAAATACAATTAAATGTCACTAATAATTTGACATTTAATTTTCTATATTTTTGTCTCTTTCAAATTTTAGTGCTTTAAAAATGAGATCTTAAATTCTCTAGGTTAGGAGTGATAAAATTCTGATGCTAAAAAATGTTTAAATTTTATTTTTTCTAGCTTTTGTTGGGGAAGCTGTAATTGTGGTGTATGGAAAATCAGAAGTGGAAGGCATAAGCACCATGTACTAAAAGAGCTTTTTTCTCAAGTTAGCTTTAATTGTATACTTAAACTCCAATAAAGTATTTCTAATTCTACTTATTACTGTATCTTAAAAGGTTATATTCTAGGTAACTGATTTTTCTAATTAGCTTAATAGACAACACAAATATGAAATTTATTTGAATTTAATTCATAGTATTAAAATTTTTGCTATTTAAATTTTCAGGCATTTTTGGAGCTAGCAACAGAAGAAGCAGCTATTACTATGGTTAATTATTATTCTGCTGTGACACCTCATCTTCGTAACCAACCGATTTATATCCAGTACTCCAATCACAAAGAACTAAAAACAGATAATACATTAAACCAAGTGAGTATGTGTAGTTATATAAATAAAATGATTTAGGACATAGTAAGAATCTCATAAACATAAACATAAGTAAAATTTTTAACCATGCAGAAGACATTTCCATGGGCATTTTCTTGTTACTTTTAAGACTTTTATAGTATGTTTCTAAATGTTAATTTACAAAAGTATGTGCATTTGATTCATATTTTAAATTATTACTGGATGAATTAAATAGTATTTTTCTCAGTGGTTTTAAGGTCCTGGTCAAAATGTTTGTTTTCTTATTGCAAGTTAAAATTTTTGTATAGAAAATTTTATGAGGGTAGGACTCATTATTAGAACAAACTATAAATAAAACTGCTGCTTAGACTTTAGGGTATAAAGTTTAATGCCTTTGGTTGTCGTTTTGTAGGTCTTAATTTCTTACAGAAAAATTCCTGTTGAGAATTAATGGTTTCTTTAGGGGTTGGGGGAATGTAAGAATTGAGAATGTATAAATGTATTGACTTTTTCAAAATGTGGTATAGAAGATATTAATTATTTGAAGTTAATACATTAAAGAAAATAGTAAGGATGGTTTTAGACCTAAGTACATAGTACTGCAGTAATGATCTAAATATTATAGTTCTTTTCATATGGTTTTTTAGCTGATTGTGTGTTATAGCAAGATCTAAATTGTATCTGACTCTATCTTACTGAAAATTTAATGGGAGATAATTCCTCACAGATTTTAACCTTTGTGAAAAGTGACTTTTCAAGATCATTTTGATAGTTTATGAAGGCATTTACCTATCTGAAAGATAAGGATAAAATTGATTTGAGCTGTTTTTTTTTTTTAATATATTCTCATTTTGAAAGATTAAAAATGAAAGGTATATGTAAAGAATAAAGATAAGTCATCAGTAGATGTGTGTATGTAGGAAAGGGGGATTCATAAATTTAAGTAGTATAACCAATAACCAGTGAAAGCCCCATCAAGAAGCAACATATTTGAAGTAAACTTCAAATTGGTTAGGGAATAAGGCACTTACTCCAATCTTGGTTATTCTAGACACAGAGCAGTCAGTGCAAGGTTTCATTTTTTGAAAAATTGGCAGGCGTACTTTTTTAATTTTTGAAAGCACTTTAGTTTTCTTTCATCATCCTTACATTAATGACTGGTCATGTGTTATAACTTCACAGTTCTTTAAGGACAGTAATTGTATTTTAAAAACACTATATTCTAAATTTTCTCTTATTTTCTTCAGTGTTAGCTTTTTGTCTCTCCTTGCTGCTGTCTGTTCATACTTCAGAATAGACAATTATGTTTTATTGGACTTGGATGCTTTCCTCTAGAGTAAATTAACAAGGAGTTGGATATAAGCTGGGATACCCCCAAATGCCAAAGAGGTCTTTATTCTGGGCCAATGAAACTCCCTTTAGAATTTCTTGTTCCTTTAGTAGTGTTCTTAATTTTCTTTTCCCTTTTTTTTTTTTTTTCCCAATGGTAAGGGGGACAGATAGTGAGGGGACTGGAGGAAGAGGAGTTTAGGTTATTTCATTAGTCAGATTTTCCATTAACCCTTTTATTTGCATCTTATCCCTTCTGTGATTGCCTGTTTATCTGATTCCTGTGGCTGCTAAAAGCACAAAACTGTTCACTATGTGTTCATGGTGTCTTCTGTTCCTTTGGTTACATTCCTGTTTTTTGCAATCCAGGAATTTGATAAAATTATTCTCAGCCAGTGATGACCTTCTCTCTCTTAAATGTTTGCATTTATTCCATTTTATATTCATTTATAGATATTTTAATAGGGTTTCGTAATAGAAGAGAGGCAAATAAATACTTGTGTCAACAATAAATTCTTCCACAGCCTTTCATCAAACCACCAAGTCACTCTCCTTGATATCTGCCTAGTTTTCTTCATCTTTCTTGCTACTTGACTAGGTCAGACATAATTACCTATCGGCTATGTTACTATAATGGCTGTCTTACAGATGTACTTTCTTTCTTTTCCCTCTTGAATTCTTTCTCAAGTCTAGACAGGTATATATTTTCTCAAATGTACTTATCTGACTAAGTTACCCCCTGCAGCAGACATTTTTCATGCTCAGGATAAAGACCTTTCTAGATGGCTACTGTTTCTGCTTATGACTACTCCCACCATACTTGCTTATGCTTCTATCCCAAAAGTAATTGTAAATCCTCTAACCTGGCTTGTTTTCAGTGGTTCTCTTATTTTCAGTTTTTTGAGGCTGCTGTCACTTATGCCTGCAATTATTGTGGCTAGCTTGCCTTTGTACCACTTTTCGAACTGGTATGTCATATGGCCAGTTGCTAGATACCTTCAGGTCTTCCCTTAGCTAGTTTTCTCCAGAAAGCATTGTCTGATCCACAGAGTAAATTAGTTTTGGATTAAGAACCTTCTGTATAAATTAAATTCACAGTGATGTGCTACCAAGTATTTTATCAGATTGGCTAAAATTAAGATGGGTAATGCCAAGTGTTGGTAACAGTATAGAAAAGTTTGAACTCATGTATTATATATGAATGTTAATGAGAGTGTAAGTTGGTAAAATCATTATTAAAAATTTTGACTTATTTAATAAAACTGAGCATATGGATATTATTGGACTTAGTATTCTCATACATTCTGAGAAAACATAATGTTTGCATTAAAAGATACATATGGGGAAGTTCATGGCACCCTAATATGTAATAACCCAAAGCTAGAAATGATGTAAATGTTGAGCAGCAATAGAATGTTGTGTGGTGTATTCATTTGTTGGAATACAAAAAGAAGGAACAAGCTACTGGTACCTGCAAAATCTGAATGTACAGCATAAAAATAATGTTTATTGAAAGAAGCCAGACCAAAGTAGAATACATAAATGATTTCATTTTTAGAACTGGGAGAAAGCATGAATGTGTCTTCTTGAAGGTTGCTAATGTTCTTTTAACTAATAAGATAGTCATTCAAAAGGTAAGTCCAATTTGTGATGTTCTGTTGTGCTGTGTACACTTTAAATTTGTGTCCTTTTCTGTAAATAAGTTAAATTAAAATTATGTTGTAGGCTAACTTTGCAAATCAAAAAAATGTGTTACTTGTTTATAATAATGGAGAACATAATTGTTAAGCTAAAAAAAGGAAGTTGAATAAGAATAATATTGGGAGAAAAATGTATAGAGTAGATATATACATATATGCTTGGATTTCTGGATGGTAAAGGATCCTTAAGCTAATGATGGTAAGGAGTGGGTAAGGGGAAGCAGACAGAATGTCAGAGTTGTAGAAGAAACTTAACCTTTTATATTGTTTGGGTAGTGTACCATGATGCTGTGATTTCTATTTTAAAAAGACATTCCATTATTTAAATAACAGATGTTAGTGTTATCCTAACTTGTATTTTCATACTTGTAATAATAAATTATAAATGTAAGGATATGTTCACTAATGAAGAAAGTAATACTGCAGTACACTACTTAAAATACTTTTTAAAATAAGTAATGGGTTAAATACATGCAAACATGTAAAGTAATAAACATGCTTTAGAAATCTTTTTATCCCTCATTAGTTTCTTTATAACTATATTCTCCATAGAGTATAAATATCTCTTAAATATTTATCAAATATTTCATAATGTTAGGTTTGTATTAGTCACTTTAGCCAACAGAAAAATTTATAGGTCATATTATTATTTAATTAACATTTAAATAATTAGGTTTGACCAGATGAAAGTGTGGGTATGTGGTCTCTTTGAGTTCCAAGCTGTGTGATCCCCTGGTTTCATAGTATTTCAATGAAATGACCATTCTTTTTTTGTCCCTAGCTTTATTGACATACAATTGACATATAACATTGTATAAGTTTAAGGTGTACGACAATTTGATTGATGCACTTACATATTCCAGAGTGATTACCACCAGAGCACGTGTGCTGCCGAAGCAAGCACTGACCATTCTTGCTTGTTCTTGAAAGTGTCCTGATTCTTGTGTTCTCCTTCCTTTTTGTTCATTATGCTCAGTTTATATTCCTATTCATCTTCCAAGACAGCTTTTTCAAACTATAAAGCAATATAAGGGTATTTGTCATTATTAACACATTTAACAATCATTTGCCCTTATATAGGTTTTTGATTCCTATAAGGAAACAGTTTATTTCTACCGTATGAATGTATCTGTCACAGTAGTAACAGGAAAGGCATGATAGTAATAAAGGTAGTCTTTTTTTTACCCTTTAACATATTGTTTAGTTGACAGATTTCCTAAAAATACTGTATTTCTTCAATTCTGTACATATATTATTTTCACATGTTAAAGTCTCAGAAATCTGAACATGTCTTAAAATAATCTGTCCTGGTTTAATAATATCTTATTAGTCATACATAAAATAATAGTGCATTTTATAATTGATGTATATTAGCTACCGTAACATATATAGAAAATATCCTTCATATTTTATCTTAAAATGTTCCTTAAAATTTTGTGACTTTGTCGTATAGTATGTATCAGTTCCCATTGAAATTGGTTGGAACTTCGAAAAATTCTAAAAATTTTGGTGTCAAACTAGTATAAAAAAGAATATGTATCCTGATCATTCCTCTTTTGGGATTGTAACAAATAATAAGTTTTATGGGAGTTATTTTGGATAATCTGGTAATCCCCTTTTTGAGGTATATTATGTACCTTTCTTATGGAGTGAATAACATTAAAGTTTTATTTCTGTTCAGAATATTTTCTGATTATATGGATCTGCCAAAATGCATCTTATTCTTTGGAGAATAAAGTACATTGCCTATCTTTACTCATTCAGTGATAGTCCCAAACCCTAGATAATTGTTTTGAAGTAAGTACTAGTAGAATATTTGCATTATAAACAGACAATACCTGACTCATGGCAGGTGCTCAAAAGCATATATTGGGTGAGTGTTAAATTTTGTTTATATGTGTTCCATAAAAGTAATACGTAGCCAAGTATAAGTGAAAATACTGCGTGTGTTTCTAAAGTGCTTATCTTTGAATTTTCAGCGTGCTCAAGCAGTTCTTCAGGCTGTAACAGCTGTCCAGACAGCAAATACTCCTCTAAGTGGCACCACAGTTAGTGAGAGTGCAGTGACTCCAGCTCAGAGTCCAGTACTTAGAATAATTATTGACAATATGTACTACCCTGTAACACTTGATGTTCTTCACCAAGTAAGTTTAATTTGCATATTTACCTATAAATTGGAGAAATAATAATACAGTAGGTAAATGATGTTTGGATTTTAATGTTTTAACAGATATTTTCTAAATTTGGTGCTGTATTGAAGATAATCACTTTTACAAAAAATAACCAGTTTCAAGCTCTCCTCCAGTATGGTGATCCAGTGAATGCTCAACAAGCTAAACTAGTAAGTCCAGACCTCTTTTTGAGATGGTGATATTTTTCAGTGGTGGATACACACCACATATATACAAATATGTGTATATATATCTTATATTATTAATATTGACATAACTTAATAATACCATGTAGCCTTATAGATGGTGCAAATTGTTATTATTAAGGAAGTATTAGAAAAGCTTATTACTTATGACAAAAAAGAAATGTTTGTTTTTAAGGGTAGTCATATCTGCAGTTACTTTTAATATAGGATTATATTATTTTTCATTTTTGTTTGATTTTGGTCCATAAGTTTTGTGCTTTTGTGGATATAGCAGAATTATATTGTATATGCACACCTGTATAAGATCTTAAGTGTTTTCCAGTGAGAGTTGAAAGTAATTTATTCAGTTATCAAGATAGCTTGGAGAAAAATGTGAATACACATGTGACTTAAATACCAAGATAAGTTCTTGGTTTATTTAAAACTATATTCAATATTCTTCTTGACATTTTTTTTTTTAAAGACTGGTTTTCTGAATAGGTTCCTGCTATACTTTCTATTCATATCATTTATAATTTTTGCTGTTTTATATGGAGGATAAGACACTTTAAGAGAAGTAAAATTTTCACATGTCATGGCTGTCATTGAAAATTGTATACCACATCTTTGTTTTTAATTAATGCCTTAATCTTCAGTTTCTGTATCATATTTAAATCTCCCTTTGCTCTGTCCTTCTAACGTTTTGTGGCATATTATCTCATTGATCATTATTCCATTGTTAAGCCATTAAATAGTCATTAAGCTCCTAAATCAACCACTTTTACTTACTTTCACTCTTTTTCATCCTTTTACTCTCTTTTTCTTTGAAACTGCTTATGGTATATGTTACCTCAGTGCTTCCCCAAGATCAAGATAGCTTGTATACAGCACAGACCATGTTTTTTACTTTTTTTTTCTTTTTATTAAGGTATTGATATACACTCTTATAAAGGTTTCACATGAAAAACCAATGTGGTTACTACATTTATGCATATTATCAAGTCCCTAATCATACCCCATTGCAGTCACTGTCCATCAGTGTAGTAAGATGCCACAGATTGACTATTTGCCTACTTTGTGCTACACTGTTTTCCCTATAACCCCTCACATCATGTGTACTAAACATAATACCCCTCAATCCCCATCTCCCTCCCCTCCCCACCCACCCTTCCCTCCCCCCCCTTTCCTTTGGTAACCACTAGTCCCTTCTTGCAGTCTGTGAGTCTGTTGCTGTTTTGTTCCTTCAGTTTAGCTTCATTGTTATGCTCCACAAATGAGGGAAATCAATTGGTACTTGTCTTTCTCTGCCTGGATTATTTCACTGAATATAATATCCTCCAGCTCCATCCATCTTGTTGCAAATGTCAGAATTTGTTTCTTATGGCTAAGTATTCTATTGTGTATATGTACCACATCTTCTTTATCCATTCATCTACTGATGGACAGTTAGGTTGATTCCATATCTTGGCTATTGTAAATAGTGCTGCAGTAAACTTAGGGATGCATATGTCTTTTTGAATCTGAGAAATTATATTCTTTGGGTAAATTCCTGAGAGTGGGATTCCTGGGTCAATTATTTCTATTTTTAGTTTTTTGAGGAACCTCCATATTGCTTTCCACAATGGTTGAACTAGCTTACATTCCCACCAGCAGTGTAGGAGGGTTCCCCTTTCTCCGCATCCTTGCCAGCACTTGTTGTTCTTAGTCTTTTCTATGCTGGCCGTCCTTACTGGTGTGAGGTGATACCTCATTGTGGTTTTAATTTGCATTTCCCTGACGATTAGTGATGTGGAGCATCTTTTCATGTGTCTGTTGGCCATCTGAATTTCTTCTTTGGAGAATTGTCTATTCATATCCTCTGCCCATTTTTTAACTGGGTTATTTGCTTTTTGGGTGTTGAGGCAAATGAGTTCTTTATATATTTTGGATGTTAACCCCTTGTCAGATACGTCATTTACAAATATATTCTCCCATACTGTAGGATGCCTTTTTTGTTCTGTTGATGGTGTCCTTTGCTGTACTGAAGCTTTTTAGTTTGATGCAGTCCCATGTGTTCATTTTTGCTTTTGTTTCCTTTGCCTGGGGAGATGTGTTCCAGAAGAAGTTGTTCATGTTTATATTCAGGAGATTTTTTGCCTATGTTGTCTTCTAAGAGTTTTATGGTTTCATGACTTACATTTAGGTCTTTGATCCATTTCAAGTTTACTTTTGTATATGGGATTAAACAATAATCCAGTTTATTCTCTTGAATGTAGCTGTCCAGTTTTGCCAACATCAGTTGTTGAAGGGGCTGTCATTTCCTGATGGTATGTCCATGGCTCCTTTATTGTATATTAATTGACCATATATGGTTGAGTTTATATCTGGGCCCTCTAGTCGGTTCCATTGTTCTATGGGTCTTTTCTTGTGCCAGTACAAGAACTGTCTTGATTACTGTGGCTTTGTAGTAGAACTTGAAGTCAGGGAGCATAATCCTCCCTGCTTTATTCTTCCTTCACGGTATTGCTTTGGCTATTTGGGGTCTTTTGTGGTTCCATATGAATTTTAGAACAATTTGCTCTAGTTCATTGAAGAAGCTGTTGGTATTTTGATAGGAATTGCATGAATCTGTAGATTGCTTTAGGCAGGATGGCCATTTTGACAATATTAATTCTTCCTATCCATGAGCCATGGGATGTGTTTACATTTCTTGGTATCTTCTATAATTTCTCTCATGAATGTCTTGTAGTTTTCAGAGTATAGGTCTTTCACGTCCTTGGTTAGGTTTATTCCTAGGTATTTTATTCTTTTTGATGCAATTGTGAATGAAGTATTTTTTTCTGATTTCTCTTTCTGCTAGTTCATCGTTAGTGTATAGGAATGCAGCAGATTGCTGTGTATTAATTTTGTATCCTGCAACTTTGCTAAATTCAGATATTAGATCTAGTAGTTTTGTGTACAATATCACGAACAGAGAGAGTTTAACTTCTTCCTTGCCAATCTGGTTGCCGTGGCTAGGACCTCGAGAACTGTGTTGAATAAAAGTAGGGAGAGTGGGCATCCTTGTTTTGTTTCTGATCTTAGGGGAAAAGCTTTCAGCTTCTCTCTGTAAGTATAATGTGGACTCTGGGTTTGTCATATATGGCCTTTATTATGTTGAGGTACTTGCCGTCTATACCCATTTTGTTGAGAGTTTTTATCATGAATGGATGTTGAATTTGGCAAATGCTTTTTCAGCATCTATGGAGATGATCATGTGGTTTTTATCCTTCTTTTTGTTGATGTGGTAGATGATGATGGATTTTTGAATGTTGTACCATCCTTGCATCCCTGGAATAAGTTCTTCTTGATCATGATGAATGATCATTTTGATGTATTTTTGAATTTGGTTTGCTAATATTTTGTTGAGTATTTTTGCATCTATGTTCATCAGGGATATTGGTCTGTAATTTGTTTTTTTTTGTGGTGTCTTTGCCTGGTTTTGTTTAGAGTGATGCTGGCCTCAGAATGAGTTTGGGAGTATTCCCTCTTCTCCTTTTTGGAAAACTAAGAAGGGTGGGTATTAGATCTTCACTAGATGTTAGATGAAATTCAGTGGTGAAGCCATCTGGTCCAAGAGTTTGGTTCTTAGGTAGTTTTTTGATTACCAATTCAATTTCATTGCTCATAATTGGTCTATTCAGATTTTCTGTTTCTTTCTGGGTCAGCTTGGAAGGTTGTATTTTTCTAGAAAGTTTTCAATTTTTTGTAGGTTATTCAGTTTGTTAGCATATAATTTTTTATAGTATTCTCTAATAATTCTTTGTATTTCTGTGGTGTCTGTAGTGACCCTTTTCCTTTCTCATTTCAGAGTTTGGTTATGTTTGTAGACTCTCCTGTTTTCTTGATAAGTCTGGCTAGGGGTTTATCTATTTTGTTTACTTTCTCAATGAACCAGCTCTTGCTTTTATTGATTCTTTCTATTTTATTTTTCTCAATTTTATTTATTTCTGCTCTAATCTTTATTATGTCCCTCCTTCTACTCTACTGACTTTGGGCCTCATTTGTTCTTCTTTTTCTAGTTCTGTTAATTGTGAGTTTAGACTGTTCATATGGGTTTGTTCCTCTTTCCTGAGGTAGTCCTGTGTTGCAGTATACTTCTCTCTTAGCATGGCCTTCACTGCATCCCACAGATTTTGCGGTATTGAATTATTGTTGTCATTTGTCTCCATATATTGCTTGATCTCTGTTTTTATTTGGTCATTGACCCATTGGTTATTTAGGAGGAGGATGTGAAGCCTCCATGTTTGTGGGATTTTTCATTTTCTTTGAGTAATTTATTTCTAGTTTCATACCCTTTACCTTTATGATCTGAGAAACTAGTTGTTACAATTTCAATCTTTTTGAATTTGCCGAGGTTCTTTTTGTGGCCTAGTATATGATCTATTCTTGAAGGTGTTCCATGTGCACTTGAAAAGAATGTGTATTCTGCTGCTTTTGGGTGTAGAGTTCTGTAGATGTCTGTTAGGTCCATCTGTTCTAATGTGTTCTTCAATGCCTCTGTCTCCTTATTTTCTCTCTTGTTGATCTGTTCCTTTGGAGTGAGTGGAGTGTTGAAGTCTCCTAGAATGAATGTATTGCATTCTATTTCCCCTTTTAATTCTGTTAGTATTTGTTTCACTTATGTAGATGTTCCTGTGTTGGGTACATAGATATTTTTAGTGGTTATCTATTGTTGGATTGACCCCTTTATCATTATGTAATGTCCTTCTTTGTCTCTTGCGACTTTCTTTGTTTTGAAGTCTATTTTGTTTGATACAAGTGCTGCAACACCTGCTTTTTTCTCCCTATTAGTTGCATGAAATATCTTTTTCTATCCCTTCACTTTTAATCTGTGTATGTCTTTGGGTTTGAAGTGAGTCTCTTGTAAGCAGCATATAGTTGTGTCTTGTTTTTTTACCCATTCAGTGACTCTATGTCTTTTGATTCGTACATTCAGTCCCTTTACATTTAGGGTGATTATCGAT